CATCTGTTACCCCATGGTCATAAGAACTGAGCGACTCCACTTCTGTACGTCTAACACATGAACATGAGAGCAAAACAACCTGTTTGGTTTTATTTTACTTTTTTGTCATCAGTTCATGACATTGGGGGAAGCTACATGTGCTATCCATCTGGGGAACTGGACCTGCTTACACAGGTCCTCTGAGCCTGAGAGGTGTCCTGCAACCTCTGCTGCCGTGTCACTAGAAGCAGCACCACCACATCATTGATGATCACTTTGTGAACTGATGGCTGGTGGGTCTCATGTCACAGGAGGAGGTCAAGGGGGATTGTGACAGCAACCTTCCTCTTCCTTGTGTTTTGAGTGCAGAGAGGTGGCTAAGGACATGTCCTGGTCTGAAGGTGCTGCGCTGGCTGCCCCTGGGATAGATGTCTGATGTTCAGTGGCAGTCCATCAACATCTTTTTTGTGGCAGACTCATAGCAACTTGGCTCTTTTTCTTTTTGCAGGCTGGTTCTTTGCACACTTAGTGAACAGGCAGGAGTTTGCAAAAGCAAAAAATTTGTGTAGAGCAATTACAGAGCTGTTTGGTTGCTGGTGGCTAGGTGCCCGCTCCTGGTGACATTGCTAGTAGAGCTCTGTCACCAGCAAGTTTTGCTACAGGGGTAAATACACTTTCTCTTAATGCTTTCAGGTTCCAAGAAGACAAGTTGCACTGGAACTCCAGCAACATACTGTCAAAATCATCTGCATTGATCTTTAAGATGAGATTTCTAAGCACCTGAAACCTACCCACCGGGGTAGAAGACTGTTTTCTCACTGTTTTCTGGTGAGACTCTATTTTTTTTAATCCTCTAACACAGTTCTGTATGGATCAAATACCAAAAGCTAGTTCACAGTATAAACAATACATGAAAAAATATGAAAAGAGAAGAAATACAGAGTTTTATGGAAGCCATTATGTTTTGTTTAGAGATGCTGTGCTGTGCCAATAAAGTTTAATGAGTATTGCATTTTGCCTTGTTCATAGAGCAGGATGAGTGTAAGTCACCTACCACACACATTTTGAGATCGTAATCATTATACATGTTCAGTAGACAGTGTGCCATCCCACTCCCTTTTTCACTGTAAAATAAAAAGCTCTTTGGATTTGTACCTACTGTTCTTTCAAAATAATTTAACTTGACTTATTTTACTCCAATAGAAAACACCTTGTAATAAAGTTTTATGTTTTAGGTAAAGGAAATAATGAAGATCTCAAACCTAGTTTGTCAGTGACTGACTTGCATACTAAGTCAGAATTGTAGAACAATAGGGTTATTCAAATAGGGAAAAACGTGATGCTGATTTTCTTGTAGCTAATACTGAGTAAATCTTGTCTGCATGCAAAATATTACATAGCTTTGTATTTTTTGCATTGACATCTGATTTCTAGTATTGTGTGATTATATAAATACATATATTGAATAAAGATTCCTTTTTTAAAACATCTGGTTTATGAAGGTACCACAGATGACTTTTGATGGTGTAATCCTCCTTTAAAACAGTTCCCATTGAATAGAACTATTAATAGTCCATGACATCAGGGGCATCATACTTGTAACTTCAGAAAATATATGTATACTCACTGTGCAAAACCCCTTCCTGTTTTGTTTTCAGCATTGGTTATGTTACCCATTAGTATCTATTTTTATTGTGAAACTGTGCCTCTTACATGTCCAAATATTTTTTTCCTATAAGGAAATGGATAATTTGCATGTACAGTAAGTGAAGTGGATAAAGACTTATTTTTCTTAGTTCGCCTCTGGTTTTAGAAAGCTTGTTACAAAACCTCGTTTTGTATTACACCTCTGGATAGCAATTACTTTTCAGGATATTTGTTTTTTATTAGTTGAAAACTGAAACAGAGTAGTGAAAATTTCTTTTTTTCCCCTCACAAGCTAATCCTAATTCTTTATATTGAGTTATAATGAAACTGTTAGTTATAGACTAACTCGGTGTTTTTATTGCTGCTAATGGTATTTTGTTTGTAAGATATGAGACATCTTTTCAGTGGTCATGCTATTACTTTTTTACCCTCTTCTGTCATAAACTAATGAGTAATTTTAGTTAATGCAGACTGGCTTAGTCATTTTGTAAGTATTTCAAGCTGCTGCAAGAATGACACAGCAATGTTAGTAATTAACTATGCCAGCCTTTATTTGTATTCTGATTAGTAACTCAGCTAACAGTTCCTAGTGATGCTGCATTTCAGTGTATATCATCTCCAAGGTTCAGCCATTCCCCCAGCCCTGGAGAGATATAAAGGCTTCAGTTGAGAGTGTCCAAAAGATTAATTGGACCCTCTCAGTTTTGTGCTTTATGTCACTGCTACTGAAGAGCAAACGGGGAGGACTTAGCTTGTGCCTTGTCCGGCACTGTGTGACATTCTGAAGTTGTATTTTTTTATTTGTGATTCAGAAAGGAAACCAATCAATCTGGGTTAAGAAATTCAGGGATTTGGGCTGGGTAGCAATTCTAGCATGGCTCATAATAGTTCATAAAATTAGCTTGGCAAGAAGATATGCTTCTGTGAAACTGTGAAGTACCTGGGCTCGAGGTAGAGCTGGAAGAGAAATCATTTTGACAGAAGAGCTTGTAACAGTCCAGCTCACATCTTCAGGTGATGGCAATGAAAAGAACCATCAGTATTGATCATCTCAAGTCCTTATAACCTGAGCTCTTGCGCAGTGCGACGTCACCTTCAGCTCCTCTTTGCTGTTGACATCCTGGGTAAGCACAGAAGTAAGGACAAATATAGAAGAGAAGATGAAAGCAGAGGTATAGCCAGCTGTCCACAGAACATCAGTAAGTGATTGTCCTACATGTAAATCCTCAGATCACAGTTTAGGATTTGATACTGAAGAAGTGGAATGCTTGGAATGAGCACATCTTAACATTTCCAAATAATTAAACCTCTTGGGAAACATTAATAATATTTCTCACCAGTTTTGTAATGTTTAAGGGAAATTAATTTTGCTGTAAGCAGTTTTGCACATTTGTGCAATCACATTATAACTTTCATGCATAGAGATACCTATTAGGCAATGTGATAAAAATATCATGGGATGTTTGCAGCTGATGTCTCCAGAATTGGTCTGCATTTTAATGTACTAATCTAGTTTTCATAGTCTGAAAGAACAGCCCCCCAGATACAAGCTGGCCTCATCATTTATCTGAAGGAAAGATGATTAACCTTTGTTTGCAGCTCTGTCTCTTGACTGTTGGAGGTTACTGCAGTGAAGCTTGGTTTTGCTTTTTTGTGCCATCAAGGAGTAAATACCAAACCAGATGCTATTTTTGCTGCTCTGCTACTGGCTGCTGCCCTGCTCTACTTCTGAACCTACTGCCCTGCCATTTTCCCTACACCTGCATAAATGACTTGATTTTCCTCATCCTCACTCTCTCACTACTCTCCTTGAGATAATTGTCCCTTTTCTGTTCAAGTGCTGTGTTGCTGAGCACAGGGGCGGAGAGCGGGAAGATTTTTCTTGTTGAGCTTCATCTGTGGCCTAAAAAGTACTTGTGTGATGGAGGTAGAGTAGCAAAGGTAGCAGCAGCAGGAAGAAAATATAGGAACTGAAACTGAGGGGAACTATTGAAAAGGGTAGTGATAGAAGCTCAAGCTATTTCATACTAGGTTAAAATTCTAACCACTGAAGGAGAATCCTTTTCTAATCATGAAGTTTTACAAAGAGTTCCACATTTTCATTACTGTTCTGCATACTGAAAAATAGCTCTGAGCCCTAGGTGTTTCTTGAGTACCGTCTAGGATTGGTCACTGCCGAGGATATGAGTCTGCTTCTGCTGGGAAATACTCTGCTAACTCAAGTGGCAATATATGTGACATGGCTCTAGTTTGCCTAATATTGTTGTAAAACTATTAATGAACAATGTAGGGATCAACGTGATTCCACATGTTTGAACAGCTACATTTTTTCTGGTGATTATTTCTGGTGATTATTCCCTCCCCCTCTAAATATAAAATTATATGTAACACCCAAAGTTAAATAGATTGATTTTAAATTTGTACTTATTCCGAGAGGAAAAGAGTATATGATGGTAATTCAAGCAAAGCTGTAGTGTATAGGTATAAGGAGACTGAATTAAAGTTGCACAAGATTTCTGCCTTTTTCTTAAGTTATTCTGATGCAGTATAATTGGCTGAAAATAACTAAAAACTCAGCTGTGAGCTTCTATACACCCCAGAAGAAATGCCTATATATCTAAGTACTGAAGGCAAAACACCAGCAATAATTGCATGAACTACAAAGTAAACTGATTTCATCATAAAGAGAAAATTATAGATTAGCATCTGTACTTTTTCCCCCCCCTCTGTTTTTCTGCACACCCTGCACTTCTTATCTCTGGGTGCGGTGCATTTCCTACAGCAGGAAAAGTTCTTGAGGGTTTGATGTGATGTGTCTCAATAATACCTTCTGCTGCTCAGCTACTGTGAATCATACCCTTAAGTTTGGAGTATAGAACTGCAGAATTCTCAGTCCCTCTTGCACACAAGCCCAGCTTAAAGAGTGAAATTTTTGTATGGACAGAATTAAGCATTCAGATTTGAAGTTACACTGATACTTGACTTGTGAGTTAGATTTTTTGCTCCCTTCCCCTCCAACATGAAGAAATCACTTTTCTTTTAGATGACATTTTTCACAAGCAGAAGCCAGCAATATTTCAGACATCATCTGCCACTAGGGCAGCTGCTATGCAAACTGCTACCCTTAAACAGGTTAATTTGGGAGGGTTTTTTTATGAGTGTCACATCTAGTGCCTTGCTCCTTTCAGTTTTACCTTCTCAGAGCTCAGATGGGAGTTGTGATTAAAAGCAGCACAGATATCCAAATCAGGACGTAGGGTGTGCATTGGCTGGCTGACAGGGTTTAAGTAATCACCTGCAGTTGAATTGAGTCTCGGATGGGAAGTAGGAAGTGCTGTACTCAAGCTTCCTGTATAAATAAATGCAGCTTTCCCACAGCTACTGCATGCAAGCTGTGACGTGCTTTTAAGATATAATGGCAGCATGCCCTAATAGCAGGGAGGGGATGATTTATCAGAGTGGCAAAGGGGCTGAGAGACAAGTCCTGCTGCAGTCCTAAAAAGTGTACAGCTGTCAGATACCCAGAGAAGAGGAAGGGCGTGTGAGAGCAATCTGCCTCTGCTCCTCATTGCAAGCTTCAGGGATTTGTGACACCGTGGTTCTTGGGAACGCTGGAGTCTGAGTGCAGCTACTGAAAAGTCACACAGCTAGCAGTGAATGCTACTCTCCTTTCAAGGTATGTTGGAATACAGCTTTCTGTCTATTTTTTTCCTTAAAAGCAAAGGATACCCTAAAAGAACAGAAGGCCAGCATTTGCTTCTAATGGAAGAAAGTAGAAAAGGCATTTTAAAAAAAAGGAGTAAGGACTAGAATGATTAAACAGCTAAAATAAATGTTATTTGTGGTTTGTCTAAAATCAGACTGTGTGGTGCTTAGAGCTAAGGCAAAAGGAAATCCTGGAGTTGTGACTATTAAAGGCACAGAAAATAAATAGACATCAAGTACAGCCCAAAAGGCTGAAATTACTTTTGTCAGTGTAACTTTTAAAGAAATATCTGTATGGAGTGTTTGAAAATGCTGCAGTATTAGGACATATCTTGTGGAAGGCAATTGCTAAAATGGCATATTGTCAGCATGTTTTAGTTTAAATGCAAGAACTCATTTCATACTGAAAAAATACCTGATTAACCTGGAGGAAGCCTGAGTTTAAAACACAGAGGTTTCCTCCTGGTCTAAAGGCATTTCTTCTACCACAGTCTCATACAGCTGGAGGAAGAAAATACGTTGATCTGTATTGTAAATGTTAACATACACTTCTAATTTGTATTAACTTCTAATCTACTCAGGGTTTAGGGTTATTTGGTTTATGTAAGCACATATAAAATATACAATACTTTTTTTCTAGTTTAAATTCTTTTTTACACTAAAGATAACCAATTGCATTTACTGTATGTTTCCAATGCTTTCTCATCATAAGACTTTCTCAGTGCAAAGCTGCTTTGGTAATGAAGATGTTTCAGTCTAGTTTATTATAAAGCTCTGTATCTTCTCTAATACAAAGCACTCTGCTTCCTAACTGTATAGAGCAATATCAAATATCTTCCTTCACAGAGCACAGTAAGTTGTAAAATATTTAGAATTACTATAGTTAAGGAAGCACTGCGGGGTGACTTCCCATCCTCTTGGTAAATATACCCTGAATGCTTTTAAGAAGCAAATTTTAGCAGAGAGACAGGCCATGACTGAAATACCCCATGCAGCTTTCCAACTGACTGTGAGCAGGCAAAGCAACATGATATGTTTGGCTACCCTCAGCCTGAAGGGCAAGTGGTCCCAGTTAAGGGCAGGCACTGGATTTGGGATTCCAATATTTTTGGAAGCAGAAATTTCAAAACCCTGTCCTTAAATATTTTTCAAAACAAATATATTGTCCTGAGTCTTGTCCTCTATAGGACTTGTCTGTGCCTGAATGTGAGTGGGTGTCTGGCTTGTTGCCATAGCATGAAAGCAGTTGAAACCCTTCCCTCAATGAACATAAGCTATGTTGGAGAAAATACGGCACATTGATAAGGGGATGGCTGCAGTTATGCTACTGGAGTAATGCTTTAGATTATGGATTGAGAAGTGTGTGTTTGCAGTGTCTAAAACTGTGGTAAAGTGGAAGGTATTCTTTCAAAATAAACCAGAGCTATTCCAGAGCCAAGCCAGTATGATGAGAATTAGATTCCTTTTCTCTAGTGCATCTTACTGTCTGATGGGGATATTTAACATAAAGTCCTGTCTGCTCATACAAGGACACAGAAACCTCCCTAGGCTTCATGTGGGAATAGCATTTGTCAACCTGGTATAGTTTCTGTTTGCCACTCTGAAATATATTCTGCAAGCACCTCACTTCTGGTCATGGGCTTCTTTCCCATAGATGGTGATATTTTGGTGATTTTGTTTGTGTGACAGTTCACTTTGGGGCAAAATTAGTAATATAAATAGCAAACAATATTGAGTTGTTCCTCTCTAGCTAAGTTCTTGGATTACACTATATTCTCTAAATGCTTCATAAGCTTTGTAGAAATAAAACAAGTGTGGAAGTGGTTGTCTGGCTTTTCCCTTCTGGTGGAGAAGAAAATATGTACTTGTCCTTATTATCATTGTAAGTTTAAAATGCAACTGTGAGAAGCAGCGAGTCACTTCATAGGAAAACAAGCATTGCTACTGCTTAACCCAGTTTGCAGTTCATTAGTATGCCTCTGATAATATCTATGGTGTCAGTCTGAGTCCTGTGCCTGCAGTTTACCGTGTCCAGACCTTTCAGTGACTTTTAGTGGGGAGACCTAGTGGAGTGTATTGCTTTGATATAGCTCAAAAGAACTTTTATAGACTTGCTGTTCCTCTTCTTGAGAGGGGAGTTTTCTTGAATGTGTCTGAAACTACACAGTGCCTATAGATTGTATATTCCAGATCCATAAATATCTCCTAGACTAGTAGTACTGTGATATCTGAGACCATAATTACAGCTCTGGGCTCATGGATATCACAGGCACATATAAACAAAATACTGTGGCAGGCTGCCAGCGTTCTGTAAACTGAGTCCACTGGACCTCCTTGCGTATCCTAAAGCAGACATTGCCTTCAGCTTCATGAGGCTGAAAGTGGTTCTAGGTGTGAGCTCTTCTTCTGGATGCTCTCCTGGAGGTGATTACAGTTCTCTCCTCTCCTTCTGGCTTCTCCATGCCGAAGTGCAGCCCTGTGTAATGCACTTTACAAATTCTCCTCGTTACCCAACAGCCACAAATAACCTTACGTTCATTCCATCTTAAAATTAATCTTCTTTTGTTTGCAAAGAGAAACACTGAACAAAACAAAAAAGAACAGATCCAAAGAGAAAGGTAGCAGTGATACTAAGCTCAGCCTCTAGCATTTTGTATTTCTGCTGAAGCAGAGCTGAGCTCCAATGCTAGGCTACGAGCCTTCTCACTTGACAGAAGCACGGGTTGAGGGCCATCGTACACTGCAAATTTACTCAGTCATGGACAAACATTTACAGAAATGCTTGTGCCAAATAACTTTGTGCTGATCAGTAAGAAAATAGTGTTCACTAATCTTTTACTTTGCCTCTTTTAAATGATTTCAGCTCAGTGGGAACTGAGTGGGGATTACATTCATGAAGTAGATCACCGCTAGCAGATACTAAAACACTCAAAGAAAAAAAAAAAAGAGATGGTATCTCAAATTGCAAAGGACCTCATCCTTCCATTCTTGCTGAAGTAGGACTTTTCCAACTCCTAGTCTTCCGAGGAGGAACAGAGGTGCCAAGGAGAAATTTCTAGGCTTGAGAACATGACTAGACTAACAGCATTGCAAACACAGTTTCAAATGAAAAATGTAGCTATACAAAAAATATTTTCTTGGTAGAGTTTTCTACATCTCTTTGTATGTGTTGATACATGTACACTATGATATATGTGTTCCCCATTTCTTGTTCCTTTTATTCTATTATAATAATGAAAAAAATGTCATGAGTTGCCCAAGATCTGTGTGGCTTTCTACTGTACTTTTAGGGGAATCTGCTCAGTCTTCAAGGGGAAACCCAGAATTCATAATTAGTAATGTCATCAGTCTACCTGATTCTTTGAATGTCCTTGTTTCCTGCAAGTACAATTTCTGCTTTGGTGGAGTTTGGCCGAACTAACTGTGGAACCTACGAGTGTCCTTGTGCCTTGTGTTTCTGAGTGAGTCAACATCTCTGGAGTCCCAAAGCCAGCCAGCACCAGACACAGTGATTTGGGACATGTGAATCTGGCTTTTGCTACAGAATGGACAACCTCTCTGAACTAAGACAGTCTCACCCATGCTGTAGTCAAAGTAGTTTGTTTAAATTATATTTATATAAAACTTAATGAGAAATTCTGTACCTGTCTGACAGACTTCAAAGACCATAAATAAGGGCAATTGGGTGAGTCAGAGTAGGACTTACAGAACTGGAACTTGATAAGGTGTATTTTTTTGGTGCTGGTCTGGATCTGTTATCAGTGAAGACTGCGAAGTCAAGATATGCTGTTCATGAAAACTATAGCCAGCACTGTGGAAAAGTCAAGCTTGTGGGGGGGGGGATCATGCACACTAGAAAAAAAATCCCCTGCATGGAGTTTCTTCCTGTGTATTAGATCTTGTTGTAGACACAACCATCATGGGGAGTTATTATATTTGCTTTTTGTTGCAAGGAGAGACAAGATCATTGAATTATGGAATGGCTTGTGTTGGAAGGAACCTTAAAGACCATCTAGTTCCAACGTCCCTGCCATGGGCAGGGATACCTTCTACTAGACCAGGTTGCTCAAAGCCCCATCCAGCCTGGCCCTGAACACTCCCGGGGAAGGGACATTCACAAGTTTTCTGGGCAACCTGTTCCAGTGCCTCACTGCCCTCTGAGTAAAGAATCTTTTCCTAATATCTAATGTAAATCTCTTCTAGTTTAAAACCATTCTCCCTTGTCTTATCACTGTCTGCCCATGCAAAAAGTACTTTCCTTTAGGTACTGGAAGGCCACAATGAGGTCTCTCTGGAGCCTTCCCTTTTCCAGGCCGAGCTCAGCTCTTTGAGCCTGCCTTCACAGGAGAGTCATTCCAGCCCTCTGATCTTCTTTGTGACCCTCCTCTGGACCTGCTCTAACAGGTCCATGTCTGTCTTGTGCTGAGTACCCTTGAGTTGAATGCAGTACTCCAGGTGGGGGTCTCACAAGGGCTAAATAGAGGGGCAGAATCACCTCTTTTGATCTGCTGCCCACTCCTCTTTTGATGCAGCCCAGGATGCAGTTGGCTTTCTGGACTGCAAGCACACACTGTTGGCTTATGTTCAGCTTTTCATCCACAAGAATCCCGAAGTCATTCTCGGCAGGGCTGCTCTCAATGAATTCTTCTCACAGTCTGTACTCATGTCTGGCATTGCCTTGACCCATGTGCAGCACCTTGCACTTGGACTTGTTGAACTTCACTAACCTCTCATGGAGCCACTTCTCTAGTTTGTCCAGATGCAGATTAGGAGACAGAGTAAAGAATTACTTTTTATTAGAAGGAAAAAAGTACCATTTTGCTGTCATGCTCATGTTTCTCCCCTTTAACTGAGACTGTCAGTATTTGTGTCTATTGCAAGCTTTTCTGCCTTTTACTTTGTTGTAATAATGAGGAGAGGAAAGTGTAAGACATGAATCATTACTCAAGGAATGACTGGTGTCTGGATATC